TTCTCCCCACGTGGACGGGCCAGGGAGACCTCCGTCTAGCCCTGCGGTGGCTGTAACGCCCTTCAGATGGCACGGACTCGTCCCAGACCTGAGTGTCAGCAGCCGGGGCGGAGGGGCGGCCTGAGGATTCGCGGCCCGCGCCGCGGGAGTCTGGACTGCAGAATCAGCGCCGCCCTGCTCCTCGCTCTGAGTATCCTTTCAGTTCTTCCTTTCCAGGGTAAGTTTGGGGACGCAAGTTCGGAACTTTTTTTTGCTGAGGTTGGATGGCACGCGAGGTGGGCAGTCCAAGTGCGTCCTGAAGCTGCCGAGGCTGAGGCGCACCAGGATTCTGAGCTGGGGATCAAGGGGACAGTTAGGTGCGGCAGAGTATGAAAGGCTCGTCTGCAGTGGTTCCTGCCCTTGAGAAATGTACAATCCAGTTGGAGGGAGAAGACACCTTCACACAGGAAGGAAGGAAGCAAAACGGAATAAAGCAAACCCACTCAGAAAATCACATCTCAGACTGGGCCGAGAGTTTATATACGTTTTCAACAAGACCAACCAGAGTAGACCTGTTGTCTCCATCATCACCAGCACTGTCTTCCCCCAGTGCGGGCATAAACTACTAGATGCGCCCTTTTAACTGTACTATCAAAACAACAGTACTTCTTTGGTAACTCCCGAAGGCCTCCTGAACTGCCTGGAGCCAGTTATGTATTGGGAGCTCCCAGAGCTGTGCCAAGGCAGATCTCTGGCCACCGCAAACCATTCCTCTACTCTTTGCCCCAACATTTAGTGGGCGCACGTTAATGTACCAAGCTCCTTGCTAGGCTCTGGGAAAACAGTCCTGCAAGGACAAGCCAGATCTGCCTCTTGCAACAAGTCTATATCACACATCCAAGGCTGTTCTCCAGAAACTCACCTGGCAGTTGACCTAAAATATGAACACCCAGGGGCTTGATGAAGAGGGTTCACTGTATCCCTCATTCCACTCTGTTCTCTTCATTGAAGTAAAAGATTGTGGACTTTCTTAAGCTCTTTTTCCTACTTGCTGACTCCAAGGTACCATTCTTAGTTCTCATTCTATTTTACCTCTCTCCTGCATGTAACCACTTCATCCCTGAATTTCCTCTTCACTTTCTGTGACTCCACTTCCTTCTACATTCCCTCTTTCCTTTGTGACCACTCTCCTTTGCTGTTTCCACTCCCTTTGGCTCTTAAGCTTTGGGCTTTCCAGAGCCAGCCCCAAATCTCTTCTTGTATACAACCTGTGCTTTGCTCTGTCATGTCTTCAGTGTCAACTACTGCCTGAATCCAAGAAATCCTAAATTTTGACTTCTAGTTCTCAGGCAGCAGGCCTGAACACTAATTTCGATCATCCCATAGGCCCATCAAGCTCAACAAATCCCAAACCCACTTTTCCTCCTGTCTTATCACCAAATCATCCAAAGTAGAAGTCTGAGACTCATCCATAACTCTTCCCGCCTCAGCCCCTTCATAGGTCACCAAATCTCATCAATTTCACCTCCTAAATAACTTTCAAATCTGCACCCTACCTTCTATCTCTTAGCCAAGACTTTATTATTTCTCATCTTACTGGTAACTTCTTTTTATTTTTTTAATTGGAGTCTCACTCTGTCACCCAGGCTGGAGTGCAGTGGCACGTTCATGGCCAGGGCAGCCTTGACCTACTGGGCTCAGAGGATTCTTCCACCTCAGCCTTCCAAGTAGCTGGAACTATAGGCGCATGCCATGACGTCCAGCTAATTTTTTGTAGAGATGAGTTCTTGCCAAGTTGCCCAGACTGGTCTCGTACCCACGGGCTCAGGCAATCCTCTTACCTTGGCCTCCCAAAGTGCTGGGATTATAGATGTGAGCCACCGCACCCGGCTACCAGTAACTTCTTAACTAATCTTCCAGCCTCTACTCTTCCCTACTGCAAAACTGGTCTATCATGCAAAACTGAATTTTGGTCCTTAAAATTCTCCAAGAGCTACATAAGAATGAGCCTGTTTGTCGTGGCATGTAAAGTTCTCTCCCCTAATCCATCCACACCTCCGACCATTTCCCACCACCCTCCACCCAAATGCACATCGTGTTTCAGTCTCAACAAGCCAAGCCTGCGTGTTTCCTTGCTTCTCCTCATTCTGTGTATCCCTGGCACACTGGCTAACACCAAGGGCTTTCAGTGTTCCGTATGCTGTTCTAAACCCATGACACTAACTCGTGGAATCCTCACTTTGACCCTGTGAACTATGTCCAGTTATGCCCATTCTACAGAGAATGAAACTGACACATGGAGCTATTAAATAACATGCCTAAGTTAGCAAATAGTAGAGTTGGGATTTAAACCCAGACAGGGCCGGGTGTGTGGCTCACACCTGTAATCCTGGCACTTTGGGAGGTGGAGGCGAGAGGATTGCCTCAGTCCAGGGGTTTGAGACCAGCCTGAACAACTTAGTGAGACTTCATCTCTACAATAAATCAAAAAATTAACTGGGTGTGGTGGCATGCATTTGTGATTCCAGCTACTAGGAAGGCTGAGGCTGAAGGATCACCTGAGCCCAGCAAATCAAGGCTGTCGTGACCATGAGCATGCCACCGCACTTCGGCATGGGGGACAGAGTAAGACTCTGACCCAAAAAAAAAAAAAAAAGCCCAGACAATCTGGCTACAGTCTGTTCTCTTGACTACCACGCTTAATTTCCTACCAAGACTTCAGTATTCAACTCTAAGACCATCTTCACTATGACTGTCTCCTGACCTCATCCCTGGCTCCCAACAGTTAGGTATGTTTCTCTGACACTTTGAATATATTTCTATTACACTTATAACGTCGTATGGTAATCATTTGCTTCCGTGATACCTCCCCTGCCAGACTGCACTGCTCCAGGTTAGAGATGTGGTTGAATACATCTTTGAGTTTTCAGAGCCAAAGTGAGTGCCTGACATATGCAACATATAAAGGGGCCACGCAGGCCGGGCTCAATGACTCAGCCTGTAATCCCAGCATTTTGGGAGGCCAAGGCGAGTGGATTGCCTGAGCCCACGGGTTCAAGACCCACCCGGGCAACTTATCTCTACACTACAAAAATTAACCAGACGTGGTAGTGCATACCTGTAGTTCCGGCTACTTGGAAGGCTGAGGCGGAAGGATCACCAGAGCCCAACAGGTCAAGGCTGCAGTGGTCCGGAGCATGCCACTGCAGTCTAGTCTGGGTGACAGAGTGAAACTCCAACTCAAAAAAAA